TTGGGTAAGTGTGAACACAGTCGAATCTACACCATGGCCGGTCAACCGTTGCATCGCGCGCCTTCCGTGCGAGACCTCGATGTACTTTCGCGCTACGACCTAAACTCCATGGACAACACGAATAGGCCTTACCAAAACGGTCTTCGTATGCTTTGGACGCTCAGGTGCAACTTCAGTACTTGGTCCGAAGAGATTGCCACTCTCCTCTTCGTCTCAATACTACGAGCAGTGCTAGAGTATGGTTCTCCCGCAAATTGTCCTATCAGCCGGGGCGAAGTAGAAAGGATTGAGCGAGTGCAGCATGTGGCCACCAGGCTGATTCCCAATTTACGAGGGCTTTACACCCTAGCTTATTTTCGACTGTGGGTTGATCTAATCATGACGCACCGGAGAGTATATCGCGGTGAATATCCCATGTTAAGGTTGCTGCTGCATCTGCTCACAACAAGCAGCACACGAGAGCACCGGTGTAAGCTTGTAGCGGAATTGAAACGGGTCGCCAACCAACAATGTTTCTAACAGAGAGTGGTGAATGTGTGGAACAACCTGCCGCAGCACGTAGTTGAAGCAAAGTCCGTGCCGGAATTCAAGAAATTCCTAGACAAACACTTTGTTGCTATGTGTCAGGTGTAGGCCGTAACGGCGCTTCGCTACCGTGCGACCATCACCAGTCGCACGAGGGCTGAGTATACTGTGACGACCCCCTCCCCCGCTAAGCGGATTCGAAACCGCGCCGCAAGATCACGATACAAATTTGTTACATCTAGGCTACGGATCGACACTTTGCTAAGCGCACTCCAACATAACGGGTCTTTGTACTTGAATGACATTAGATGCAGCTAAACAGAGATATATCTTCTCGCTGATTCCAAGCAGTAATCACATTTCGAAATACCATCAATTGTTCCGCTAATACATGGCAGATATGTATATATAAATCGAAACGGAGCCTTTGATGTTCATCCGTTTGAATAAGGCCAAGCTTCGTTCTGAAGAATACGTTCACTTGAGAAATGCAGTTGTGAATAACCGTAATGTGGTTAACATTGAAAGACTAACAATTTTGTCATTTTCAAACACAGGCAATCCACGTCATATGCATAAGTACGCTCAAGATTCAACTGCACATGTTCGTCAGTACGGGCGTCGTGACCTATTCAATGCATTCACATGGAATGTAACATGGGATGACATAAAACAGCTCTTACTTCCTGGGCAATCGCCGGTGAATAGGCATGACATCACAACACTGTTTTCAGACAGAAGCTGAAATCGCTGATGGACTTCATGATAAAATATAAGGCGTTTGGATGTAAGAGCTGATGGATGTGCTCAATAGAACGGCAAAAGAGAGGATTGCCACATACACATATACTGATCGGTCTTTATAACAAAATCGCTTCAAATGAGATCGATGATGTAATATGCGCTATAATACCCCGTCCTCACGTCGATAAAGACTTGCATGAAGTTGTGACGAAAAGAATGATACATGGATCATGCGGTACACTGGATCCAAATTCACTGTGTATGATAGTCGGAAAATGCTCAAAGCTATATCCTCGAGTATTATCACAAAACAATCACAGGAAATGCCGAATATCCATCGTAAAGAAGACGAGCAGTAACCGTACAAGTGCGAAACGGTGAGGCCGAAGTCGATAAACTGCGGGTTGATCCATATGCACCATTGCTAACAAAAACATACAAAGCGCACATAAGCATGGAATACCGTAACCCAGTCAAATCGATCAAATACCTTTGTAAGCGCGTGAATAAAGTCAATGACATGGCAGTATTTGGGGTGATTTCAGAAAGTACTGATATGAATACGATCATACATATCGATGAAGACGGAAAGAAGCAGACCGTAGAATACCTAAACAGCAATGAAGCTGTATGGCGCGTTCTTTCACTTCTCATACTCGAACGAATACAAGCTATTTTTCACTTAGCAGCACATCCAAAAAAAAACGGCCAACGCGTTCATTTCACATATGCAAACGTTCATCAAATAGTCCTGAATCCACTGCCTTTAAGGTCAACTGCTTTCCTCACATTATGTCAAAATGACGCGCTTGCAAATACACTGCTGCATTCAGAGGTGCCTACATATTACCTATGGAAAGTGAGTAGAACATCATTGGAACAACGCAAACAAGGACAGCAGTTCGACAGACAACCTAGCATCTTCAGAAAAACTACGATAGACAGACTCTATACCGTGCATCCCAATCACAATGAATGCATCCTTTTTCGCATGTTGTTGGTAAACGTGCGTAGTCCAACGCCTTCCCAACAATTGAGAGTTGTTAACGGGGTTACACATGCCATTTTCTGCAGTACATATCGCCCTGTATTTATTGAAGTAAGACCGACACTGGGATATGTGCATTAATGACGTGCGCAACACGTCACATTCAAAGCACATTCGTGTATTGTTTGCAATAATATTGACCGCCTTCTCTTCATCACCAACAGAACACTGGGAAATATATAAAGCACACATGCTGGAAGATATTTTCCATTGAATACGCAAAGGAAATTCCGATTTGAGTACGGATTTCATTGCAGAAATATATAACGAAGCGCTGATGACGACTGAAGATTTGTGCATAGAAATCGCGAATAAAGCTCTTAATCATTTATGAATATGTCACGATCGAGTCGATTTGTTGCTGCTTCGTTCGATGTCGAATTGCGTCGTGAATAAAATCACAACACGAGTGATATTTCGTCGTGTGTGCAAACCAATATTCCTAGGCTAACAACAGAGCAAAAAGGTATTTACGATCAGATAATGCAAACTGTCAAGAACGCGGTTGGGGAAATCTTCTTGGATGCGGTAGGAGGAACTGGTAAAACGTTGGTACTTAGATGAATACTTGAAGCGATTCGATCTCAAAATGACATAGCCTTAGCTCTCGCATCGTCCGGAATAGCTGCGACATTACTACCAGGCGGAAGGATTGCTCATACTGCTTTGAAATTGCCATTAAACATGCAACTCACTGAAACTCCTACATGCAACATTTATAAACCACCCGGCATGGGAAAAGTATTGCAGCAATGTACACTTAATGTTTGGGATGAATGCAAAAAGCGCTAGAGGCATTTGATCGTCCACTACAAAATTCGCGCGGTAACAGATCATTTGGGAACGCATTATAATTGCTTGTATGAGATTTCAGGCAAACAGCCAGCATGCCAGCCTACTTTGATACGCATTCTGAATATTTGGCTTCATCAGTTGGCAGTTAGCTTGTGCTCACAGGGTTGTTGCGGTCGTCTGCGTAATCGCGCCTGCAAATCAGCACATATAAATGCATAATTGGAGTCTACGCTTCTTCATCAAATCCAGCGATAGCTTTGGACACAGCAACTCCAACGGCAGGTGATAGGGATGCGATAACTTGGCGTCCATGGCTGGTCTGAAACTAGTGGGCATCATGCCATCTTCCGACGGGTTTGTGTCGGAAGTCAGTACTCGCGAGAAAAAGACAACCTCCTTCACAAAGGTGTAAACACGCACGATTATTACTGCGGAAGTCTACGTCGAGTTGGCGGCCCAGATACAGCCATTAATAGGACAATTGCCTGACTTAGGAGTCGTGGCCAATAGCTAACATTATATTTTCCGTACTTCTTCTGTGACGAAGGGGCTCGCTCAGTTGGTGACAGAAGTCATCGTTCACCGAATCAGAGCTAAAGTCTGCGGGAGGCGGATATGTAGCAGTAAAAAAGAGACACTTATTAGCTCCGTGCGACTTCGAACCATTCAACGAGCGAGCCAGTCACACGGCACACATCTGGCTATTGATTGGGATCGCATCGATCAGAGCAGCTTCAGCCAGGGGGTCAAAGCAACACTTAAATTGGCTTGATAGACATGAATGTGTGTGATCCCCGGGTAGCAACAATGAGCATCGCCGGTGTCACATCAAGGCGACTGTAGTGAATAAAGAGCTTGTTTTTCAGACGCGTTTCCGACAAATAGCATACGTCGGTCGATAGGGTCTCTAGTGTTAGGGCAAATGTTGCCTGTTGATTTATTTGCATTAAGGCTTGGGAAACAGCCTCCTCACTCCTATGCACCCCGATTGATGCAACGGATAGGATACCGCTGTGCACCCTCTGAAACAGACAGGGCATAAAGAAGTTGTGTAAGGACTCTATTATTAGATTGCATGGTTAGGACAGTTAGGTTGGCCAAGACTAGACCGGAGAACTATAAGGGTTCTCAACCAAAGCCTTTGGTCAAATACCTGGTCTGCAGGAGTTTGGTGGTAGACTAGTCCATTTTAAGGAAGGAGCCATCCTGAATTCAACCCCAACTTGAATGATTAGAAGACTGAGTTTGTTTGGTATGGGTGACTTAAAGTGCAACATGGATCTTAGAGGCATGCAAACCACCACACTAAGTTGAAATACAGTCTCATCGCTACAAATGGACAGTTGGCCACAGGCCCTCACTCTACTCGAAATGCGCGTATGGCATTCGAGTATTTCTCAAGGACCCCTTTTTAAGCAGACAGTTCCAAAGGGCACATCGATGCGCCGAATTGAATACAGTTTTGTACTAAACCAACCAATGCGGACGTAAGCAGGTGCGTCGTGAGACAGATTTGAATCTTCCCGAGACGACTTGATGCCCATGTTAAAGACTGTCAGCTTACATTTTTCACTGAGGGGATGAGTTTTGTGGGTACTTTTTGCTATCTCACGGATAGGGACCTTATTTTCTCATCAAACTGATGGTGAGGATGTGTATGGAGTTTTATTGACTCCTAGCCAAGAATTTACCTGAAATGAGCGAATCTGAAGGTAATTGGAAAGGGATGTCCACTGTGGCTCAGGTGACCATAGAGCCAAACAAACCATCGTATAGAGTTCAAGTCCAGCATCGTCGCGATGGAATAGGTTGTAGGATAACGGAAGGTATGTAATGAAGAATATTGGTAGTATCTACACCGTAAATAAGATACTAGACGTTTGGTGGCTAAGAAACGATGTATCAAGCAGCGTGATGCGTGAACATATAAATAGATCCTGCAGTGCTAGTAAAGAAATCAGACGACCAAAATATGTCAAATACCTCACATACTTGTTGGTAATCAGCAACAGGAACGAAACGTGAGGGCTAAAATGCTGGAAAAGAGGTAGGGAGGCTAACGCGAAGACCGAAAGCGTTGTGAAAAGGGACTTGAACAACTAAAAGTTCGATCCAACAACACTGGGAGTTAGTTTCCTGGGTGGTGTAACAGACAGCACCTTGCGCACAAGTGCTCCACTTGTAAATCAAGTGGATCGTGTACAGAAGAGATATGGGTGAGCAAAGCCCTTGTATCGTTGAAGTATAAAGCCCTTGCAGCATAGCACAAGGAAAGAAAGTGGGATGAATGTTGCGAAAACGAAAAAGCATTGGATACAAAGACGTGGTGCAAACTTCACGTAATCACTGGGGTTCACATAGCAAGAAAACGGGAAGGAAGGTGTACCCGAGGTGGGAGTGAAACTGGTGTACAGTGTGATATAATACAAGCGCCATTCAGTTAGGATGAAACAAAGACAACTCCAGGTGTCAGTATTACGCGGTCATATAGATATTTTTAGAAAGAAGGTGAAAAAGGAGACGAGCAGTGTTGATAGCGTCATCAATACCTCGATGAGGGCGACCCTCAAATGATAAGCCAACTAGGTGCAACGCGTCCACCAGACCCCCACGCCATTTCACTTTAGGCTCGCTGGAAGTCAGCCACTGCTGAAAAGTGGAAGAAACTAAAGTGATCACAAAGCATGATGAAAACGATGATAAGAATCATTAAGTAAAAGTAGTACCTGAAATATCGCCTTCAAATCAACTCGGCTGAATAAGTCATTTGGAACAGCCAACTTTTTGCGCCTGCATTCATTCCACAAACAATCGCTTATGTCCCAATCTGAAAGAATAAAACATGAGTTGGCAGTTAGACATTCACCGGTCCAGGTAACAAATAAAGCGCCGGAAGTTGTTTGTGGTTTAAAACGGCACCCAAGCTCTAGCTTCTTTTGTCTGAGCCAATGTTCAAACTCCTTCAGGACGACAGCGAGATCCTGTGCACCATCAACGTCTTCCTGTCATGAAGTTTTAAAAACCAATGAGTAGCTACCTGATGGATACCAGTGAGACTGACACAGAAGTCAGTCAAGATTGGGTTTTCCGTTGGGCGCACGAAACGGCAAAAGCGGTCAAAAATAGCACCAGTAGATGAATCCAAGAGTACAACAGGAAACTCGACTACGAACGTGACGCGACAAGCACAACTTACTGATTTCTGACAAAAAAGACCTGCCTTGTGAACAAGTTGATTCAAAATCTAATACAAAGTACCACTTCACAGCTACGAACTAAATACAACCGGACAAACCTACTCTCGAATAAACGACTGGCCGAATCGTCACACACAACAGGATAGACGGCTGCCCTCGATCTGTCATGAATGACCAGCGTCTACGAAAAAGGTACCTTGCAAGCCGGATAGTGTTTTCCATTCCAAAGTAGACGAAATCAAACCTAAGGAAGAAAGAAGGTCCATAAGTAACCTAAAGTTCGAAGTAAACGACTAAAACGCGCAAGCAACGAAAAGTGAGAAGCTCAGGTTGGAAGGACCGCGAATCGTTTTTAGCAATATTCAATCTATCGAATTGAATAAGCGGAGCAACGGATCACGGAGGTTCTCAAGAACTTGCATCAATTTCCAGCGTGATAGACAGTTCCACCACTGATACACACCGACAGTTTTGACACGTAATCCAAAGTGCGATAAGCTCTGGTCACAGAGATTGTTGTTTTAGTGATGTGAGCGTCTGATTGTGATTAGTATCTACTATCCAGGATTTTGCCATCTCCAGCCGAACGGTACAAACAATAAAAAGAGGAGCAGTTTCGGAATGCACTGTCAGGAGTACACTGCAACTAGCAGTTAGCAACTTCGGATATGGGTCCGATGATCGAATCGATAGAGTTCACTTTAGGCTGCATAATAGTCTGAGGTAAGATTGCGTCTCGAATCCGAATACGTGGTAAGCAGCCGAAGGGAATAAGAAGTGAATTCGCAACATAACAACGAATACTGTTCAGGGAATTAGGACACGTCTCAAGCCCCACACATTCTCCTAATGAACAGTGGTCCTGTCCATGGCGCAGACAACGGTAACGACCACATATCAATGTTGTAGCGTGCAAAGAGATAGGTAACCAATTGTACAGCCTACTTGTGGTGAAAATAGGAGTAGCTGTCCGTAGACCATCAGAGGGTGTGAGCAGTATTAAGGATTTTCCATGGAATTACTTGTGGATTTATTGTGAGTAGTGTAAGGTTAGTAGAAAGTAGAAGTCACGATTAAACTTCACACAATAATCTGCCTCGATGGGGAATCGAACCCCGGTCCCACGAATTTCCGGTCCGCTGCTCTACCACTGAGCTACCGAGGGCTGACGATTAGGTACGCAATTTAATACATGATTTCTGCTTGGTGCGCGACGTATTGCCAATGAGCTCACAGTATCTGTCCTGGTGTTGCAGATTGGCTCACTCACTCGTCACTTCCCAATGGACCGAAGTATCTGTCCTTCTGATGTACAAAGGGCGATGGTAGATTACTTGTGGATTTTTTGTGAGTAGTGTAATGGTAGTAGAAAGTAGAAGTTTAATCGTGACTTCTACTTTCTACTAACATTTTCCATGGAAGATGGGTGCTTCCATAACAAGTACTTCGGAGATAAACAATGCCAAAATCAAGTGCAATTTACCGAAGCAACGGTGACCTACAGACAGAAATGAGACAGCGGACCAAAAAGCACCACTGACATCACGGTCGCGATATTTACGACAGGGTGATCGAAAGCAGGTCCCGAAAACAACATTTAGGAAAGCGATAAGCAACAACGCGAGGCAGTATTTTGGAAAGGTACTTCATGCGCTTTTGCCATGTTATTAACTGGTCATATTGTGATTCAACTCAACTAGGTGAAATAGTATATATATATATATATATATATATATATATATATATATATATATATATATATATATATATATATATATATATATATGACTGTTATTCAACACTTGACCAATGTACAATTGGCAGTGTCACAACACATAGTTAACAACAAAAAAGAGGGAAAACGAATAGTCAGTGGAAGGATTTGGAAAGTTTGGAAGGTTAATGTGTTGTGTGGGCAGAGGTTTTCCCGGTTGCCCAGGCCGAGGAAGAGGGTTGACTTAAGGGACCCCACCCCGAGCCTTTGGTCTTAAGATCTAACCCTCAAGGCAGCTAGGGGATTAACGAAGACCGTTGACATTCGGGTGGCTCCTTCGTCTTCTTTGTGTTCAGTAGCAGTCCAAAGAGAAGCTGGTGGCCAGCAAGGTTGTTCATCCACTCTCCGTTATGTACATTTGGTTACAGAAGTGAGTGGTCAGTGACCCTATAGCCGGTCACATTAGCTTTGACACAGCGCCGTACGAGCTCTTGTGGTATTTGATGGAGAACCAGGTGACCAACCCAGAACTCCCCACGCTCTGAGACGCTGCCGCTGATTGTCCGCGACTGCTTATTCATCTCGCCTGCAAGGTAAACGAGACTTATTCGAAGTTACCTCCATAATGGAAGGCATTCCCTAATCCGCAACCTGGGGACGCGCCCGATAGCGTACAGCTCCGCCATGGTAAAATAGTAGCAAACATTATACACAGAGGCAGCCATATTGAAGTTATTTGAAGCATTTAGACGAGGCGAGAGGTGCGATTCGAGTTCAACAGACACGCTAATGTGGAACCGGTCAGTCGGTTGCCAAACACTGAAAGGATGTGGTTCCATAGTGCTTACCGAGTAGCCAACCGAAAATTAAAATAAAACATGTGTAGCGATTACAAATCTTGTTCTGTAATGAGTAGAATAATACATATTTTACAAAAAGTTGAAGCGCTGTTCAACTGCGAAAACATTGCATTGTCATTTCCTATTTTCACCGCATCTCTGTTCTCATTGGGATACACGCGATAAGTGGCATTAAGGATCACAAACCTGTCTTGTAATTCTGAGGTCGTGGGGATGGCTGGGCCACGTGTTGCGAATGCCAGCACACCGACTCCCGCGACGTGTATTATTTGCGTAAGAGGGTGAGGTTGGAAGAGAAGAAGAGGCTAAGCGATGACTTGGTCAAGAGAAAGGAAAACCGCCACTGCGAAGTTGGCGTCGGTTGGTGCATCCAGACTGGGGTCCTAAAGACGATGAACACGTTTAGTTGGACATACTTGCTGATATGGCGAAGAGCCGGTCCAAATGACATTTGTGTTGTGTTGTGTTTCTTTGTCCACTCCAATTACGATCTCATGCGAAATGCATAATATAATATTTAACATTACATTGCCTGCTTTTGAATTTTTTGTAGTGCAAGTTTTTTGTGTGTTTCACACTCTCAACTAACGTGTATTGATTGTGACGATAAGGTCACGGGTTCGAGCCTGCGTAGGGGACCGGGAGGTATTCTTAGCCCTTGCGTGACTGGTGGTGGTCGCGCGGCAGCGAAGCGACGGTACTGTGTATCGGCGCACTGCTGATACCTTGCCTTACACGCGCTAATAATCCGGAGTGCCCGCACGCGTTGAACTTGGCTTCTGTACTGCAGCGACACTTCTCCGCTGACCTATCCCGTACATTTGTGGTCGGTGCACATGATTCGAGTTTTATTAGCCGGTTACCCTTTGGGCTTCGTTTGCTCAACTGGCCAAAGGCCACCGCACTCCATACCTTCAAGCTGTGTTAGATGGCGTTCAGATGAGGCCTGCTAGTTGCATACATCCACCTTGTCTGCATTATAGTACTTTTTTAGTGTTTGCACTCTGTAATATTTGATGTCTTTGGTATTGCGTTAGAATAGCTGAGGTGCTTCTTGCCCGCAGCTAATATGCATTAATGATGATGAAGAACAAGGTTGCGCTTCGTTTGTCCTACACCGAACCAACTCACGCTCATCCTCCCCCGTGCAATGGTGGTCAGCTCGAAGGCATGGCGCTCCATTAGCTTCCTGTCCGCTGGTCCTGAGTGGATCCAATTCGCCAGAGTTAGCAACTCATTAGTTGCTTGGTTCGTCCACCAGATATGAGCAATACTTCACAAGGGCGAACTGCTCTTTAATATCCATGTTACGCAGCGACCAGGCTTGATTCACAAAGCAACAATGGTCACACGGCCATCATCACCATCAATACATAGCCGAGAAAGAGAAACACACCTCAGTTAATGTGTCGCAATAGGAAAATAAGAGATTAAACATTACAGACTACAAAAGTCAAAAAGTAACAATGATAAGATCACATTACGCATTGTGTTAAAGATGATTGTTGGAGAGGAAGTGAAAGAGGAGGGGAAGGAAAAAGGGACTCATACGTCTCCACAGGTAACTAACGCTAAGCGAAACCCTACCAGTTCCACGATGAGAGAAGTAGGTCATTCTGTGATGTGACCAACCGATGTCATACATATACATGTAACTACACAGTATGATTATTTCGAGTGGCTGATGGGTAATAGTGAAAAATAGTGATGGCACAGACGCATCGTCCAGCAAAACTTTGCAGATGAACGTGGCAAGGAAGAGGAGAAATTGTGCAACGTTAAGTATTACCTACATAGCGACGAGATGGGACCTTAAAATTTCACGACAGCTGGCGTAGCTGCGTGCTTCATTGCCCTAAGCTAGCGATACTTTCCATCTGCCTCCAGTTACTGATAACAGACCGGTCAATAGTTGCCGACAAAATCGAGTTTCCCTCCGTCTGAAAAGACGTGTATACAAGGCCACAGTGAGGACTATCCTGCACTATGGGAGTGACCCTTGGCCCGTCTGGTCTGAAGATCTGAGACGCCTTCAAGTCTTTGATCATCGTTGTCTGCGAAGCACTGCTAGTGTCGAATGGCACCAGCATATGCGCAAAGATGATGTCCGTAGTAGTGATAATCATGTGATAGTGTGGTAGTGATAATCATGCTAGCCCCTTACAACAACAGATAGCACTGAAGAAGTTGTGTTGGCTTGGAGATGTGTTACGTATGCCTGGTCACTGCTTACCTAGGAGGGCCTTGTTTAGTTTGCCAGGTGTAGGGTGGTGCAATGCTCGAGGTGGAAAGAAGTTGACTTGGCAGCGGGAAATGAAGTCACTGAAGGCCAAGCTGAGTGCTGTTGGTCCGTCTCGCCTTCCGGGCTGGAGTCCACATGACTCGCCCTGCGCTTGGCTCGAGACTTTACAGGACATGGCACACAACCGACACCACTGACGCGTCTGCTGCCGTCTCCTAGTCGGATTGCCTGTTTAAAGTGTATTTGATGCTGAGTTATCTGTGGGGAAATGACTGATTATGACGCGGGGCAGTGAAAACCGCAAGGAAGTTGTCTCGCCGATGTCTACTTATCTTGGTATGACAGCCAGCTCATTGTGACGGTATGTTGTCTTTACAAGGTGTAGGCGCCTTGACCCTGAATGCTTGCTTAGGGCATTAAGGTTATCAG